TAAATGTTATTAAAATAAACCATAAAGACAGTGAAAGAATCAGTAATACCACTGGTGGTTCCTAGAGGGATAAAAAGAAGACTTATCAAGAAAGAGTGAAAGAAAAAAGGAAAAGCACAAATAAATATTAGGAAGAAACTATGATTAAGAAATCATGGACAAATTCCTAGAAAAAGGCAACTTATCCAAACAAACTCCAGAAAAATTATAATGACTGAACAATCCTATATTTTTTTAAAATTGTAAATGAAAAATCTTCCAACAAAATGAGTTTTAAGATAAGACATTTTATAAGCAAATATTTAGAAATTAAATAACTGCAATCTTGTGTAAACTCTTTTTCAATGTAAAGATGGATTATTCTTAATTCATTCTATGAGGAGAAAGCATAAGGAAGAAAATTTAACTCCAATTTTAATTGCTATATTAACCATGATTTCTAGTTTTTTATATGATCCTTTGACATTTGGAGTCCTACTGACCAGGGAAGGATTACCCTAACCAGGTCTAAACAGTTTAACCTTCCTATGAAAACTAATTCAAATACTAAGATCACCACCAATCACCTTCTTTATGATTCTTTCCTCTGGGACACTATTCCCAGGCTTAATCACGATAGAACCAGGATCAGCCAATGTGTGCCAGAGTCCAATAAATGTATTCAAAGTAGTCAGTCTCAGCCAGTTCAGCCTGCTTAGGCTTCTTGGCTCAATTTTTTCTCTCATAAACCACAAATACGAGCTCTTCTGCAGTCCTTTCCCCTTGTCTACCTGCCACCAACCTTGGTGCTGTGTTGTGTGGTCCTTCATGGTACAGCATGTCCCACTCTCCTCTTGAGAATCGGAAATAAGCTATCTTTCTAATGGCAATTGTCTCTTCATCTGTTGGCCTCACCATACCTAGAAAAAAAGAAATCTACGTTTTAAAGCAATCACAAACACATAAATGCAAAAATCCTAAATAAAATTATAGTAACCAAAACTCATTAACATCTAATAAAACAATCTCTGATGGGGCCTGTGAAATGGCTCAGCAGGAAAAGATACTTGTTGCCAAGCCTGATGACCTCAGGGGAAATGACAAAATGAGTATTAAGGGTAGGAGAAAACCAACCCCTACACGTAGCCCTCTGACTTCCACATGTGCTCTGTGGTACATGCACGCACATACTCTGGCACACAATAAAAAATTTTAATTATAAAAATCTCTGATATCACTTAGTTCAATTAAGTACATCATTAATTTATGGGTCACTGGTAAAGAAAAACAACGAGAATGAAACCATGGTATTACTTTTCTATTAACTTGTAGCTTTGTTTATTTGCTTATTTTTTGAGACAGGGTCTCCCTATAGCACTAGCTGGCCTGGAACTTGCTGTGTAGACCAGGCTGGTTTTAGAAAGATCCACTTGCCTTGCCTCCTGAGTGCTGGAATTAAGTCTGTGCCACCATTCGTAGTGTTCCACTTGGAGCTATCATTTAAGACTTACTTAAAGAATTTTAAATTTAAATAGATTTTTATTCTATAAAGCTCATACAATTATAAAAAGTATATGAAAAATACATCTGTTAAATTATTCCTTTGCATTCTGAATCTGATTCCCTGGAATCACTTTCAACTCAGAGTTGCTGGTGTCCACTTTTTCTCAAGGAACTTAATCTTTTAAAAACAAACAAACAACAAAAACAACCTGTGGAGAGGAAAAACAAACTCTAAGCTGCTCAGTTTCTACAATTATGTAGAACAGAACTTTGTAGTTCAGCTTTTGATGTGTTGATAAAACATAGCCGATTATTTTCCTTTATCTATCTAAAATTCTTTCCTACAGCTATTAGGTTTCAAGGAACTGAGTGTTTCCAAGTCTCTAAGCTGTGGATATTCATTTCTCATGTATTTGAGCACCAGGTATGGTGGCACCTGCCTATAACACTAGCACTCAGAGACAAGTTCAAGGCAAGTTTAATTCCAAACTGAACCAAATAGCAAGAGTCAGTCTAGCTCAGAAGTAGAGTGCTCCAGTTGAATAAAATATCACAAGATATGCTACCCTCAGAGATACAAAATACAGGAAAAGTGCATTCTGGAATTATTGACACAAATACTACATCAAGACCAGTTTGGAATTCTCCCAGAAATGCAAAGGAGATAATTAGAAAGTCTACAACTAGTACCATAACAACAGTTTAAGGAAAAAACCACAGTATCACTTCAATACATACATGCACATATACTCCCCCACAGACACATGTACACATACATATACACAACATGTGAAAATAAATTAATGTAATTCATAATATCAATAGGTATCAGAATTATATTAGGCATCATAACAACAGAAATATGATTATATCAATGGATACATAAAAAGAATTTGAAGATATACAATTCCTGCTCAACAAAAATTTCAACAAACTAGGACTAAATGGAACATCTTCAACCTAACAAAGGACAACTACAAAAAACCTATGCTGCTAGGCATAGTGGCACACAGCTGTAATCCCAACACCAGGGAGGCTAGAGCAAGAGGAATGTGTATTTGGGGAGGAAGAGAAGGAAGAGGAGAAATACTCATCATACACATAAAATAAAAATAATAAATATTTTTTAAAATAGAAAAAAACAAAATAAACAAACAAAATCCAGAACACTATTCACATTAGCACATACACTTCTGTGCATGGATAGGAAAACTTGATCCACAGATTCAATATAATCCAAATCAAACACAAGTAATAGTCTTCATACTAACAAAATGACTCTGATTCTAAAGTTTATGCAATCAGCCAAAAGATCCAGAATAGGAAGTACAGTATTGAGGAATAAAGTTGGAGGACTGATATGACCTAACCTCAAGGCTAAACTCAGTATGACACTATGGTAGTGAAGACAGTGCAATAGTGTCAAAGAGGCCAATGGATCAATGGAGCAGATCACAGCCCATAAGCAGATACTGCAAACTGACTTTTGACAAAGAAGGAAAGGCAATTCAGCGGAGACAAGACAGGAGGATATCCAAGTATGAAAAAAAAAAAGAATTTAGACAGATTTTATATGCTTCAAAATAGTAATCCCAAGGATAAAAGACCTAAATGTAAACTGAAAAACTATAAAATTTCTGGAGGATAACACAGGAGAAATTCTAAGATAACCTTAAATATAGCAATGCCTTTAAAAAAAAAAAAAAGACACAGCCCATGAAAGAAATAATTGATAAGCTGACTTCAATAGTCCTAAAACTGTTTACTTTCTGTAAAGACAATGTCAAAGGACTAGGAAAATGTGACAAAGCCTGGGAGAAAATATTTCCCACAGACCTATCTGATAAAGAATCCAGCAATTCTGAGCTTGATGCTACAGTGAAGACTAAAGTACACCTATAAAGGAGGATGGGCTGGATAAAGACTGCCAGACACGGATCACCTGGGTCAGAATTCTGCCCAAATGGAACTTGACTTTCCTACTAAAATGCAAAACTCAACTACAAGTTAAGCAACTTTTTGTGGTTACAAAGCAAAAATACCATTTAAAATATTTTCTATATATAAAAATGGGTTCTAACATGACTAGTGGTCTACTGCACTGTTGACAATTAAAGGCACATTTTTAAAGTTACAGATACTGGGGCTGGAGAGATGGCTCAGCAGTTAAGAGCACTGACTGCTCTTGCAGAGGACCCGGGTTCAATTCCCAGCACCAACATGGCAGCTACGAAGTGTCTTTAACTCCAGTTCCAGAGGAATCCAAAGCCCTCTTCTGACCTCCACGGCATTGCACAACAGAGGTGCACTCATATACATGCAGACAATACACTCAGACACATAAAATAAAAATAATAAATAAAGGCAGGCATGGTGGTGCACACCTTTAATCCCAGCACTTGGGAGGCAGAGACAGGCGGACCTCTGTGAGTTCAAGGCCAGCCTGGTCTACATAGTGAGTTCTAGGACAGCTGGGGCTACAGGGAGACCCTGTCTCAAAAAGATCAGAAATAATAAATAAATAAATAAGTAAATAATAAATAAGTAAATAAATAAATAATATTTAACTTATAAAGCTGTTACTTTCACCTGGTTAAAAATAAAATTGTTACCTTCAAAGCATTAGCCAAACCTGTAATCCCAGCCCTCAGGAGGCTGAGACAAGAGGATTCAGAGTTTGAGGTCTGCTTGAGCTATAGGGCAAGACCCTGTCTCAAAAAGAAAATATAATTTTTTTTTCCTTTTCCCCACATTCACACAAACATTGTCATTGGGTTTTTGTTTGTTTTTTGTTTTAAATCTTAGTCACTCTGACTGAGGTAAGATGAAATCTCAAAGTAGTTTTAATTTTCATCTCTCTGGTGGCTAAGAATATTGAACATTCTTCAAAATATTTCTCAACTAAGCTGGGCATGGTGGTACATGCCTTTAATCCTGGCATTTGGGAGGCAGAGGCAGGTGAATCATTGTTAGTTCAAGGCAAGCCTGGTCTACATAGCAAGTTCCAGGCCAGCCAGGGCTAGATAGAGAAACCCTGTCTCAAAAACCAAAAACCAAAACAAAATAAAGCAATCTTAGCTATCTAGATTTCTTCTTTTCAGAATTTGGTTTAGTTCCATGCCCCAATTTTTGTTTGTTTTTTTGAGTTACTTGTACATTCTAGACCCTAACCCTGTCAGATGTAGAGTTGATACACGTACTCACAGCACATGTGACAACAGGTACAAGACCTGCACAAGATTAAGCCAAACACAGTCCAAGCATGGATGGGGAGGGAGTTCCTGAAGCCCCACCCCTGCCTGAGGAATGAGTGGCAACTGACAGCTGCTGTGGGAGGGAAGGTCAGTTTTCTTCAGGGCTGCTGACCTTGAGAGACTACCCATGCTCCAGGAGATGGTCCCACACCCACACACATACTGGCAGCACTAAATGGCCTCAGGGGGCTTAAAAAAACAAGAGTACATGAAGATGGGAAGGGATAAAGGGGAGTGGGCAGGAACTAGAGGGGATGGAATGAGGGATGGGTGTGGTAATTTTTTTTTTTCATTTCTTGGTGTCTTTTTGAGACAGGGTCTCCCTGTAGCCCCAACCAGCCTGGAACTCACTATGTAGACCAGGTTGGCCTTGAACTCACAGAGCTCCACCATTTATATATTAATATATAAATGGTGGATCTCTGTGAGTTCAAGGCCAGCCTGGTCTACATAGTGAATTCCAGGCCAGCTGGAGCTACAGGAAGACCCTGTTTCAAAAACACAAAAATAGGGGCTGGAGCGATGGCTCAGCAGTTAAGGACACTAGCTGTTCTTGCAGAAGACCTAGGTTCGAATCCCAGCACCCACATGGCAGCTAACAACTGTCTGTAACTCCAGTTCCGGTGGATCCGACACCTTCTTCTGTCTTCCGAGGGCATTTCACTACACGGGTACACTTATATACATAAAAAAAAGACAAAAATTATTTTTAAAAAGACAAAAATATATGCATTTTTTAATTTTTAATTTTATTTTACATGTACAAGTATTTTGGTTGCACAAATATAAGTGCACCAGAAGTGTGCAGTCCCTGCAGAAGCCTGAAGAGCATTGGATTACCTGAACTGGAGTTAAGGATGGGTGTTGGCCACCATGTGGGTGCTGGGAACTAAATCAGGGTCCTCTGCAAGAGCAGCCAGTGCTCACGACTGCTGAGTCATCTCTCCAGCCCCTGATAATTTACTTTTTTAAAACACAAAACTTTGAAAAATAAAAGGACAACTGATGAATTTTAAAGAAACAAAGTAAAAAAATTATTACCTTCAAGCAGTGGCTCAAGTCTCAAATCCAAGTTGCAGCATTCTGTTAGCCCCAGAAATGTCCTTTTATGTTCATTGAAGATCTTTTTTGGGGGGGGAACTAAATCTTAATTGCTCCAGCTTTGTTCATGTGAAAGCTATGTCTTCACAGCAGCATGTTCTCTGTAATGAAATAGTATTGAATGCATATTATTTTACACATAAATAATAGATGATTAAGATGTTCTGTGTGAAATTCAATTAAAAATTTTTAAAAACTAGATTTCATTATACATATTTTATTTATCAGGCTCATATAGTAGAACCATTAATCCAGTTAGTTGATGAGAACTAAAGACTAGGACTGACTACTGCATGTGTCTTCGAGTAGGTGACTTAGCCTTTGTCCCTACTTCCTCATCTACCACTAGAGATTTGAGCTAATGTTTTCTTTCAAACCCCATATTCTACAACTATCACTGAAACAAAGACCGTATTTTTTTCTCCCTCAATGAAAATATTTACCAGTAGAGCATCTTTTGGAGCCACAAGAAGCCTGAAAATAAATGTTTCCTCCCTATGCCCACAACTCCCAATCCTAGAACTGACAAATTTATCTTGTAAACATGAGATGCCAGGGTGGGCCAACAGGAGCAGAAAGCAGCATTAAATACAGGCCTAGTTAGACTTCAGAAAACCCACTTCTTTTCTGATAAATTGCTTTCTAGATGTTTTGTAGCACTTTTAAATAAAAGTAGATTTTATTCTATATCAAAAGTAAAAGTTAGGAAGAAATTATAAAATTAGTGCCTCAGTACTTTTATTTATAGAGAAAGGCCTCCTGATTGTTTACATGTGGTGAGTGCATGGTGAGGGCAAGAGACTAGTCAGGCTATATTGAGTCTTGTCTGTAAGGGGAATACTTGGGATATGGCTGTTTTCATGTTGTTCAACGGCAGACACAGTTTAAAACTTTAGGGGTAATTTCTTGGATATAGTTTCTGAACTGTCAACATCAATGTTATTTTAATTTCCCCCAGAGACTTGAGTGCATACACACCCCTTTTTTTGGTCATTTGCAGCCCCCACTGGCCTGGAACTCACTTTTTTTTTTTTGGTCATTTGTAGCCCCCAAGCTAGCCTTGATCTCATAGAGATTTGCCTGCCTCAGCCTTCTGAGAGCTGGGATTAAAGGCATGTGCCACCATGCCCAGCTAGAATGTATTTTTTAAAATCAGTAATCTGAGAATAAATCCCAAGAAGGATAACTGGAAGGATAAAGCCAATTGAAGTTCAGTCTGAACAGTCCCTTTTAATTCCAAGGAACTTGATTTATGTTCCAAGAGTTAAAGGATTTTAAAATCTATTCAGAATCAGTATTCAATTTTATGGACTACATTAAAAATATTGCTCTTGGCTGGGCGTGGTGGTGCACACCTTTAATCCCAGCACTCGGGAAGCAGAGGCAGATGGATCTCTGCAGTTCGAAATGAGCCTGGTCTCCATAGTGAATCCAGGACAGCTAGGGCTACAGGGAAACCCTATCTCGAAAACGCCAAAAAATAAAAATTAAAAAAATAAAAAAAATTGCTCTTTAGAAAATATCTTTCACTGCTTAGAGACAGGTAAATGGCATACTTCTTTTATACTCTTTACAAAATTACTATGAATCTGTAGTGTCAAAATTAAACCAAGACTTCTAGTTCGCAAATTATTTAAATAATTTATTTTTCAAAAAGGGATTTCAAAGTTGTATGTTAAATCAGTAAATGAATCCTATGTGCAATGATTAAGCACCCAAAAGTTTGCAGCTAATGTTCTAGTTAACCTTAGGAAAAGCAAAATATTCCAAAAGCATTAGTTACCTAGATGCCTCTTGGAAACAAGATCAAACATGAAGTCTACTGTTGAAACTCAAAACACCATTCAGTCATCTTACAAAACTTACTAGCTTTTCCTTAACTAAACTTCTTGGTCAAATAACAATTGTATTTTGGTGAATTCACTATTTCTGCTTTGCAAATTGAAGTCTTATTTTCTTAAGTTTACCATATTCAGGTTCTGTATCTTCCTAATCATCGTTTTATATTCAAATGTGTTGATCCTCAAGTATTGTGCATTCTTAATTTGATAAATTTCAAGTAAGAACTTAAAAATCTATTTTAACCAATGATATACTGTCAATGAACATGAATTCAATAGTTATATTTCAATTACGGTATTTCAAGTTTCAGATGCCCAAATACAGTTAATGTGTAAATCTTCACCATTACAGGGACTCATGTTTAAAGGGCCACATGGCTATTATCAAGTCCACTCCTAATACATGATTTTTTTTCTGGAACTTCAGCAACAGAGATTTTCTCATTTTATTTTTCCATCTATGTGCCTGTTCTGACTCATGTGAGTAAAGCTTCTAGTAAACACTTGTGCTGATAGTTCTGATGATGGCAAGCATTAACATGTAGCGAGTGCTTCTCATGTGATATTTAATTCTCACAGTTGATGACAGTGTGGCACAGAGAGGTTACATAGCACACACAGAATCAAATTGAGGCATTTTTGTTATAGGGCATGCATCCTATAAGGTGAGTCAACTGAAAATATTCATGCTTTTACTGACACTGCTCCCTAATACGAGATTGCTTTGCGCCTCCAATTATTTCAATCACTTCTAATTTTCTCCAGATGATTTAAAGATTTAGGCGACATACAAAAAGGAAATCTTTCGTTGTCTTCACCTGCACACATACCGCTACACCCACACGTTTTGCAATCCATTGCCTAAATTGCTGTTTTTGAAGCAATTTTCTCGCAGGTTTTCGGGCGAACGCCTTAAAAATTGACTTTGGGATCTGGAGAGTCTGGTCTCCATCCATTCTCACCTAAGAACTAGAGAAATGATCGGGACCCCTGAGACCAAGTCAGGCCTTTGGGTTACTTCACAACTGAAAGTCTAAAGTAGGGGCGAGGTGCAGGCGGGCCTTTTCTTCATCTAAACCCCAGGATTAAAGGGACTCAGGAGCAGGAGGCCCGGCCAGGCGGGGCACGGCTGCGGGGACCGCTCTAGGTGCGCTCCCGCTCCCGCCCAGCCAGCGGGGCGCGTCCGGGGCTCAGCACCCCTCTGGACAGTTCGCCTCCCAGTCTCCAGCCTGCTTTCCCGGGGCCCCTGCCTGGAGGATAAAGACTCCGCACCGAGGCCGTCAGGGCGCCGGGGCAGCGCGTCAGCTGCGTGGGCGCCGGGCTGCGGGCGGGGCGGGTGCCGGCGGTTGCTCCCAGTCCGGGAGGGTCAAGAGGTGTCGGGAGGAGGAGGCAGGAGGAAGGGGGGGGAGGGTTGGGAGGACGCGTCCGGTCCCGCGGCGCGGGCAGCTCGGCCAGACCTCCGGCTCCCCCAGTCCTGCCAACGCAGTGAGCCCCACAAAGCGAAGAGGGGAGTCCGCAGGAGCAGAAGGGAAAAAATTCAAAACGAGTCTACTCAACCTCGTCTTGGCTCCGAGGCCCCGCCATGGAGACCAGCACAATGCGCAGGCGCACCCCTCTGTGAGGCGCAGTGCAGCCCACGAGATAGGATCCTTGTCGGCCACCGTCTCCGGGTTCCCTTCGAATTCCTTTTTTTTTTTTCCTTGTGTTTCCTGGCTCTTCGGGATCTCAAGCCTGAAGCCAGAGGTAAGGACACATGGAAAAAAATCTTGGTTGACCGAGGTGCTGATCCTGAATATGCATAAAAAAGGAAACTAGGCCTAGCGTGGTGGTGCACGCCTTTAATCCCAGCACCCGGGAGGCAGAGGCAGGCGGATCTGAGTTTGAGGCCAGCCTGGTCTACATAGTGAGTTCCAGGACAGCTGGGGATACAGGGAGACCCTGTCTCAAAAAGACCGAGAAAAAAAAAAAAAAGAAAAAGAAAAAAAAAAAAAGGAAACTGGTAGTACTGTAATCAGTCAGAGGTAAAGGAACAGGAAATGTAATATCTGACTGGAGACGGGAATTTTAAATGCGTGCCCCGTGACCAGAAAGACTACAACTCCCAGTGGTCACGGGGTGTGAAACGCGGTGCTTTCTGGGATTTGTAGTGTCTAGGAGCTGTGTTTAAAGTACACGGTTTAAGGAAAGCCTTTTAAAGCTATCAGATTCGAGTTATCCTATCTTCCTAGTCCTTTACAGACCTAATTTTCTGGATGGCAGAAAACCTAAAAAGGATGAAGGGGACTGGCTGCCTTTAAGACTATGCTTTAGTAATCGATGTTTCCCAAATCCCAGAATAGGTAGTTGATGCTTCGGGGCTGCGCGCCCGCGGAAGCGTAACCTCGTGGTACCATCTGCTGAGGAAAGCAAAGGAAACCTAGGAAGCCTAGCCACGCACATGCGGCGTACTTGGGTGTTCTGATTTGGAGCTAACTCATTACCAGCGCGTACATTCTGTGGAGAAGTCTCGCGTGTACTCCCTGCCATGGCACAGCTCCAGGCACGTTTCTACACTGACAACAAGAAGTGAGTGAGCCCGCAGCCGGTCTTCTCTCCCCTATCTCGGATCTTACGTTAAGACCCCTTCGGTGATGGCTTTGTGGCTCCCTGGTTGTCCTTGCGGTCTTGACGGGGAATATACTTTTTAAAAAAGAAAATGACAGCCGTCCCAGCACCTGGGAGGCAGAGGCAGGCGGATCTCTGTGAGTTCGAGGCCAGCCTGGTCCACATAGTTCCAGGACAGCTGAGGCTACAGGGATACCGTGTCTCAAAAAGACAAAAAAAAAGAAAGGACAAGCAAGACCTTACAACTGAAGGAAGAGGAAATATAATATAATATCACCCACCCCACTCCACACCCCCACCACACTCACACATGTGCTCCTCGCTGCAGCCTGCTGTCATCCTTCCTTTGGTTTGGAAGCAGAAGCTTGGGAGGGTTTCCTATAGGACACCTTGGTCGATTTCCTAAATCACCTTTCTGCCCAATTTCGTGAACTCCACGTAATTAGAATTGTTGCGTGAAGGAAACTGAAGGGCTTCGGGTTTGCCTTGTGAATGATGCACCCTATATGCGTGATTGGAACGGTGAGCAACGGCCCTTGGGTTTGCAGGTGTCTTTTAGGCGGGTCTCACGGTTTCTGGAAATACAACTGGAAATTCAGTTTTCTTTTTAAATAGGTGATAGAAATGCTTGCCTGAACCAGTGAAAGTGGATCTCTGAATAGAGAGTTGGGAGAACTGGTTTTTGATGTGTTGAGTCAGTTCCGTTAACGATTTGATTATGTGTGCGTGTACATGTCTATATATATATGTTTACATATAAATAAGCCATATATATGGAAACGTTTACAAGTGATATGCATAAGTAGAATGTAGTGTGAGGTTCATCTTAGCAGAGTTGTACAACTATTCCATCAATCAATTCTAGAAAAAATTTTCATCACTCTTTAGTTACCACCCATCCCTTAAATACCCCCAGCCCAAGGCAATAACTGATCGCCCTACCATCTGTCTCAATTTTGGAGATTTGTCTATTCTGAACATTTTGTATCATGGCATTATACAAAATATGGGTTTTTTGTGACTAGCGTCTTTCACTTACTATGTTTTCAAGGTTCATCCATACTTTGTATATCTTAATACTTCATTTATTTTATGGCCATATATTCCATTTTGTGGATAGATCGCATTTTTCCATTATTTTGAATTAGACATTAGTTTGTTTGACTATTATGAATAGTGGTTATATAGCATTAACGTGCTGTTTGTGTACAGGTTGTCTTTACTCTTTGGTGTGTGTCTATCTAGAAGTGGAATTCCTGGGTCAAAGGGTAATTCTACATTTAACTTTTTGAGGAACTGCCTTTGTTTTCCAAAGCAGTGATACCATTTTACCTCATCACCAGCAAGGGATGATTGCTCTCTTATGTCTTTTTTATTTTATAATAGTCACCTTAATTGGGTGGCATTCATTGTAATTTGATCATGTGCCTGTTCATTTCTACTTCCGTGTAACATTTTCTATTAAAATCTTTTGCCCATTAAAAAAATTAACTTTTTATTACTGATTTGTAACTGTTCTTTATATATTCTAAGAATAAAGACATTTTAATTCATTTTGTTTACTCCACGTAGCAAATGTCTGGCATGAACTACCCAGTAATACTTGTTGAATGAATAAATGCAGATTTGCTAAAACCTGTAGACTTCGTTCTGATTAATATTTTCTTTTTGTAGATATGCAGTAGATGATGTTCCCTTCTCAATCCCTGCCACCTCAGAAATTGCTGAGCTTAGTAACATCATCAATAAATTGTTGGAGGCCAAAAATGGTGGGTATATATGCTCCGAAAAGTTTAGGAGACAGCACAGTGCCATCAACTACACTTAAATATGTTTTCAGTTCCATTTTTGGGTACTGAGTATATGAATTTTGTATCCATAAGATCTCAAGCAAAACAAAAATTATGGTTGTATGTATTAATATAAAGTATTTAATATGAAAAATGTATAAAATATTAATGAAGTAAAATTATAAGTTTGTAGATGTTGGAGTTAGATAAGTGTATAAAAGTTTATTCTATTATTTTTCAGTTTTGTATATGTTTGAAAGTTTCTATAATAAAATGTTTTAAGTGATGAAAATTACATAAAATAGAACAGATTTAAACATGAAAATTTGAAAAATCACAAAAAATTATGATCTTTAAAAATATAGAATTTGATCCCAGCACTTGGGAGGCAGAGGCAGGCCGATCTTTGTGAGTTCGAGGCCAGCCTGGTCTACATAGTGAGTTCCAGGACAGCTGGGACTACAGGGAAACCCTGTCTCAAAAAGACAAAAAAAAAAAAAAAAAAAAAAAACCCAGAATTCGGTACAGGAGACATGGCTCAGCAATTAAGATGGCTCAGGCTAAGAACACTTTCTGTTCTTCCAGAGGACCCAGGTTCAATTCCCAGCACCCACAACAAGGCAGCTAATAACCATCTGGAACTGTAGCTCCAGGGGATCTGACACCTTCTTCTGGCTTATGTGGGTATTGCTACACGTGGTGTATTTACATACATGTAGGCAAAACACATTAAAAAATAAATAGGGGCTGGAGAGATGGCTCAGCAGTTAAGAACACTGACTGTTCTTCCAGAAGACCTGGGTTCGAATCCCAGCCCCACATCGCAGCTAACAACTGTCCACAACTCCAGTTCTAGGGGATCCAACAGTCTCTTCTGTCCTCTGTGGGCATTGCACGATACTGGTGCACTTACCTACATGCAGGCAATGCACACATTCATGTAAAAATATTTTTTAAAAAGGAAATATATACAAACATATATATTTGTATATAAAATGAATTCCGTCTACCTATAATCAGGAAAGTGAGTTTCAGTTAAATTCAGACCATAATTACCTTCTTTCTTTTTGTGTTCTCCTCTGGCCACTTAGAAAACATGTGTTTTGGTTTAGTTTTAGAAAACACCGAAAAGTAGACAAATATGCTGAAAATAGTCATTCTACCTCACAGCTTTTTTTTTTTTTTTTGAGACAAGGTCTCACTATATAACTCTGATTGGTCTAGAACTCTCTATATGGACTGGTTGACCTCAAGCTCACAAAAATCCCCCTGCATCTGTCTTACAAGTGCTAGGATTAAAGGCGTGCACTACCACATCTGGCATCCTATAAGGAGAAGCATAGTAACCAGTTATAATGTTTCGACTTTAGGTACTAATTCTAAAAAGGCTACTCTAAAACTTGAACTGCTAGACATGGTGATGCATACCTGTAATTCTGTAATTCCTGTGCTCTCGAGTCTGAGGCAGGAGGATTGAGAGTTCAGGCCTAGCCTGGACTGTGTAGTAAGTTTGAGGCCAGCCTGTGCTACATAGTGAGGCCCAATTTCAAAATAAAAATTAAATTAGCAAAAATTAATAAAGCCCATATGAACACTGGGTATTTGATAGTAAAATGGTTAATACTTGAACATTGTGATTTCTTTGTAATTCCCAATATTTTAGAGATACTTAATAAAGTATTTACAAATTAAATGGTATGATTTCTAAGGCTTGCTTTAAAGGGCAGAATCGAGCTAGGAGTAGAAATGATTGCTCATGAGTTAGTTGACATTGGAGTAGGGGATGGGCAGTCACCATTATATATATTTTGGACATCTTTGAAATTTTCCATAGAAAATAAATACAAGTTGCAAGTGGCACTTTAGTTACTGTCTAGGCTTCTGTCTTCTTACTGTGTACTTAATAAACTGTTCTTTTTGTTTTCATGTATATGAGTGCATTGCCTGCATGCATGTATTTGTACCCATGTCCTGTAATGCAGGCAGAGATCAGAAGAAGGCATCAGATTCCCTGGAACTGGATCTGTGGGCAGCTGTTAGCTGTCATGTGGGGGCTCGGATTCATGGCTCTCAACTACTGAGCTATCTCTCCAGCCCCCTCAATGAATTATTCTTTTTTACAAAAGAAAGATTAGATAATGGAATATAGATCAGTGGTAGAACATATACTTAGCATGCACAAGACCTGGGTTCAAACCCCAGCACCCCAAAATAATAAAAATAATTACCAACAAAGCCAAACATATGCTTACAGAATAAAGTATATCTGTTCCTTAAAAATCACATAGTATACTCCTTAAAAATCACATAGTATACTATCATATAAAACATCTGTCTGATGGGCTGGAGAAATGGCTCAGCAGTTAAGAACACTGGTTGTTCTTGCAGAAGACCCAAGTTTGAATCCCAGCACTCAGGGACATGGCAGCTAACAAACAACTGTAACTCCAGTTCCAGGGGCTCTAACAGCCTCTTCTGTCCTCTGCTGGCATTGCATGACATTGGTGTACCTACCTACATGCAGGCAGTACACATATACACATAAAATAATTTTTAAAAAAACAAAACAAAACCATCTGTCTGAAATGCCTGAGACTCTCTGGGGAGACTGCTACTGCAATGAGTATTAGGTTTTTGTTTACATTAGAGGTGCTCTTAAACATCTGCCAGTAAGACTTCAGACCCTAAGAGTGATAATAACTTTGCTCTATATTTTTTTCAGAGTTACACAAACATGTGGAGTTTGATTTCCTTATCAAGGGCCAGTTTCTGCGAATGCCCTTGGTCAAACACATGGAACTGGAGACTATTTCATCGGTAGGTCTAAGTACTGCCTCTGTTTTTATTGCTATTACCTAATAGTCTGAGTAATTCTGTGTAGAATCAGCTTAAATTTAAGTCTTTGACACCGAAGAATCTTTTATATGTTGTTTTTAAGAGTCTTTTAAATTTTTTAAGTTATATTTATTTACTGTGTGGTTGTGTGTGGATGGGTGCATGCAAGCCGTGGCCAGTGTGCGGGAGTAAGTTCTTTCCTTCCACCCTGTGAGATCCCAGGGGTCAAACTCCAGATATCAGGCTTGGCAGCACCTTTACCCGCTGAGCCATCTTGCCAGCCCCTTAACTATTGTTTTTTACCTAGAAATTTAAGCTTAATTTCTATATATTCAACTTTAGACCCCTTTTAAAAGTATTTTATTCAAGAAAATGAAAATAAATTAATACAGGCTTTAATTTTGTGAAAGCATAAGTAAGAAAAGGAACAACATACATGTGTACTACTAAACCCAGAGGACAAAATAATTGTACATATATTAAAAAGTGTGGGTTAGGCTATAGGGATTGTGATACCTCTCTTGTAATTTTTAAACGTCCCTTAAAGCTGTTTTTATAATTAAGAAAATAATTTGTGGCTAGCAGGATGGCTTTGTAGGTAAAAGCACTTGCCCCTAAGCCTAACAACCTGAATTCAGTCTCAGGACCCACATGGTAGGAGCAGTGAACCAACTCCCTCAAGCTATCCTCTGACCTCCATACATGCACTGTGGGGTGTATGTACACAAAATAAATAAATGCAACAGAAAATGTTTTAGAATAATTTGTAAATGTTTTTATAAATTTTGGTAATTTACAATATTGTGGTTGCCAGGCGTGGTGGTACACGCCTTTAATCCCAGCACTCGGGAAGCAGACTACAGGGAGTGTCTCAAAAAGACCAAAAAAAAAAAAAAAATTATATATATATAATGGTAAAATGTACATGACAGAATTTACCATTTTAACCATTCTTTTGGGGGCTTTTTGTTTTTACTTTTTTGTTTTTGTTGGTGGGGAGTTCTTTTGAGACAGTGTCTCCCTGTAGCCCCAGCTGGCCTGGCACTCATTATATAGACCAGGCTGGCCTCAGTCTCACAGAGATGCACCCACCTCTGCCTCTGAGTGCTGGAATTAAAGGTATATACGACCATGCTCAGCTATTTTAACATTCTTAAGTATACAGTTCAGTGGCATGAGATATAGCATTGTGCAACTATACTCACTACCTAGTTCCAGAATTCTTTCACTCTCCTAAACAGAAGCATGTTACTCATTTTAAAAATATGCTTGTATGATTTTTTGTTTACCTAAAAATTTTCTTATATAAAAGCTCTTTTATTCCCAGCTTTAGTATAAGTCTTCCAAGGCTATTAATTTTTATATTATTCTTAGCTTAATGTTACATCAAAGTTTTGACTTTTTAAATGGCTCTGGATTTTCTGGATTTTGAAGGGGACTAGTATGAAAGTGATACATTAAATTGGGGGTCCTTTGTCTCCAGAGTAATATTTTAAAACCATCACCCCTGATTTTCTGTTCTCTCTGTGACTAGGAAGAGGTTGTGGAACTGGAATATGTAGAGAAATACACTGCACCCCAGCCAGAGCAGTGCATGCTCCATGATGACTGGATCAGTTCAATCAAAGGCGCAGAAGAATGGTATTGCCACAAGAATATACTTTTGTTTCCCTGTGTACCTCCTTCATCTTTTAAGTCTACAGTATTGCTGTTTTTATCTGCTTCCTTTTTCTTCATAAAAGTACATTTTGATTTATATATTGGGGACCTTGCCAAACAGAAAGACTTTGGCATTCGGTATATTCAAGAAGAAAACAGGAGTTTATTAATAGGTTTTGTCTCAAAATGTTGTGGTGCCATTTGTGTTTTATATACGTCACTGTCAAAGCATTGGTTTGATGTTTAAGACCAGGAATATAGGCTATTTCACAAGAGAAGAAAAATTTTAGTTTTTGTGGCCACAGCACTTCCCACCTGCTACTACAGAGATGCAGGTCCTGCTGTTGTAGGCTTGTGTACAGACTGGAATCAAGTAAAGAGGTATGGATGTCTTAGAGCAAATCCCTGCTGACTGTACTTGGGGAAACCACTTAGGAGTTGGTCAGAGAAGTAGCTTAGAGCTTTATTTCTCTCTTTTTTTTTTTTTCTTTGACATTTTATTTTTATAAGTTGTGGATGCTGGAAACGAAAACTGACTCATGTACAAGAGCAGCCAATGCTCTTAACTGCTGAGCTGTCTCTCCAGCCCCTGAATTTAAATGTCTTTTTTTGTGTGTATGTATCTTTTTGATGGGTCTCCCTGTAGCCCCAGCTGGCCTGGAACTCACTGTGTAGAGCAGGCTGGCCTTGAACTCACAAAGATCTGCCTGCCTCTGCCTCCCGAGTGCTGGGAGTAAAGGTGTGCATCACCACACCTGGCTGAATTTAAACATCTTAATAAACACTTTTTCCTACATACATATATTCCTTATGATTGTCTAACTTCCATCACAATCAGTAGCTAAAGAATATTATGATTTTAGACCCAAAGTAAAGTTGTATTTATAAGTTGGCCACTGTGCGTGTCAGAGGTCAGAGGACAGCTTTGTGATCTGTTCTCTCCTACCTCTACATGGGTTCTAGGGATTGAACTCAGGTCATTGGCTTTTGTGGCAAGCTCCAGCTATGGAGCGCTCTTGCCAACCTGTTTACTTATTTCAAAGAGTAAGTCCCTGGAATTATATAAAGTTAGGTTTTTACTGGTTTTACTTTTTGCCTTGGTGTTGTGTTTTTTATTTATTTGTTTGTGGTGCAGGGCATTAGACATAGAGCCTACTGCATGCTGGGCACATACGGTACCACTAAGCTGCATCACAAGTTTAGTTTTTTTTTCTTTGTTTTCAGTGGTTAATTACAAAAGAGTTATAAGAAACAGGCTTTACAAGAAATTTGCAGAGATTTGTAGTATTTGCAATAAATGTGAAATCTATGACTCCTAAGTTATTTTTAGTAGGTCAGAAAAAAAGGTGTAACATTTAAAATATTTATCATGTTTTGAGGTGTTGCTCTTCATATTAAAGAGTTTATTCTCTAAGGTTTACTTTGTCATTGCTGTAGAAACATTGTTGATTTTCAGGGCTTCAAAAGGTCTCTTTGTATTTCATAGTATTCTTTTTCCCTCATAGGATCTTGTCTGGGTCTTATGATAAGACCTCTCGGATCTGGTCCTTGGAAGGAAAGTCAATAATGACAATTGTGGGCCATACAGATGTTGTGAAAGATGTGGCTTGGGTAAAAAAAGGTAGGCCTTTACTTAAAAGGAACCTCAGAGCCAGGTGTGGTACACATGCCTTTAATCCCAGCACTTGGGAAGCAGAGGGAGGCAGATCTCTTGAGTTCAAGGCAGCCTGGTCTACATAGTGAGTTCCAGGCCAGCTGAGGCTACAGGGAGACCCTGTCTCAAAGAGACCAAAAAAAAAAAAAATCTGAAATTTAGAAATGAGTCATTTTTAATGTAGCAGAAGAATTGGATAAAGAAATGCCTCATGCCTTAGGTGCTGTGAAGTCTTCCAGAAATGTAGTACACAGAAGAAAAGATTATGTTGTAAAAATCTGTAAATTGCTGGGGCTTGAGAGTTGGCTCAGCAGTTAAGAACACTAGCTGTCTTGCAGAAGACCCAGGTTCGAATCTCAGCACCCACATGGCAGCTAACAACTGTCCGTAACTCCAGTTCCAGGGGATCCAACAGCCTTTCTTCCACAAGTATTGCACAATACAGGTGCACTTATCTACACGTAGGCAGTACACACATAAACATAAAATAAAAATAATAATTTTTTTTTTAAATCTGTAAATTGCTGTCTTCTTTTTGTGCAGTGCTGGGGATTAAACAGAGGGCTTTGTGCATGCTGGTCAGCTTTCTACCACTGAGCCACATCCCCCAGCTCCACCAAGTCCATATATTTATGGAAGTAAATCTTCATAGAAAGTGTATCAAGGAGTTTACATTTTCAAGTTATTAAATGTACTGAACATCTAACTTCTATTTTGGAAGAATCTTCTTTTGGACTGGGGGGTTGGCGTTATAGGACCTCACTGTGTAGCCCAGGCTGATCCTAGAATTTGCCACCCTTCTGCCCACCTGAGGCCTGGGATTACATATGTGCACCACCATGCCTAGCTTAATAATCTTCCCTTTTCACCATGTTAGCTTTCTTTTCAAAGCAGTCCATCTGTTCATTTAAAAAAAAAAAAAACACAAAAATAATGTTTATGACCATGATGTATTCAAAGGTTTGTACTAATTTGTTCTTGTTTCTCTTCAGACAGTTTATCTTGCTTACTACTGAGTGCCTCTATGGATCAGACTATTCTCTTATGGGAGTGGAATGTAGAGAAGAACAAAGTGAAAGCCCTGCACTGCTGCAGAGGGCATGCTGGGAGTGTGGATTCTATAGCTGTGGATAGTTCAGGATCTAAAGTAAGTTATGTTGTATTATTTTTCTGTTGCTGTGATAAAACACTGTGGCCAAGGGAGCTTACAGAACAAAGAGTTTAGTTGCGCTTATGGTTCCAGAGGAATCAGTCCATCATCGCAGGGAGGCATGGTGGCAAAAAGGTGGCATTGAAGTAGAAAGAGAAGCACTCATGTCTTCAAGCAGGCACAGGAAGCGGGGGGGTGACTGGAAATGCAGCACGCAGAGGTTAAGAACTCTCTAAGCCCACCCCCAGTGACATGCTTCCTCCAACATGGCCATACTTGCTAAAACCTCCCCAACCAGAGCCACCAACAGGAGACAAAATGTCCAACTACTTAGAGCATTCTCATTCAGATCACCACATATGTCTTACGACTGTTGTGTTCAATTAGAATTTAAGCATCTTTTAAAATATTTTTGGGAGGGGGTTTATTTTTATTTTACGTGTATGTATGGTGTCCTGTATCATGCAGTACCTACCTGCAGAGGCCAGAAGAGGGCGTTGGATCCCCTGGAACTTGAGTTAAGGATGGTGGTTAGTCACTATATGGGTACTGAGAACCTAACCTGGGTCCTCTGCAAGAACAGCCAGTGCTCTTAACTGCTTAGTCATCTTTCCAGCCCCAGAATTTCAGTATCTTAATAAATATTTTTTTCTACATCTACATACATACATTCCTTATGATTGTCATAACTTCCAAAGTAAATAGTCATACAATAAGAAAAATAGATCTACTTCCCCAGTCTGGGTTTTTTCTTTTTTTTTTTAAGAAATCATATTTAGCCAGGCATAGTAGCACATGCCTTTAATCCCAGCACTGGGGAGCCAGAGGCAGGAGGACCTGTGTGAGATCAGGGCCAGCCTGATCTACATAGCAAGAGCCAGGTCAGCTAGGGCTACAGGGAGACCTTGTCTTAAAAAACTAGAAAGACGGACTGGAGAGATGGCTCAGCAGTTAAAGAGCACTGGTTGCTCTTGCAGAAGACCCAGGTTCGGTTCCCAGCACCCACATCCTAACTCCAGTTCCAGGGAATCTTGACAGTCTTTTGACCTCCATGGGTATTGTGCAACACTGTTGCACTTACATACATGCAGGCAGTACACTCATACCATAAAATAAAAGTAAATAAATAAAACATTAAGTTAAAAAAAAAAAACTAGAAAGAGAAGGGAGGGAGGGAGGATGGAGAGAGAGCAAGTAAATAAATATAAAATGCCTAGATGAGGAACTAGAGAGATGGCTCAGCAGTTAAGAGCACTAGCTTGTCTTGCAGAGGACCCAGGTTCAAATCTCAGCATCCACATAGTGGCAGCCGTCCCATAATTCCAGTTCCAAGGGAATCTGACGCCCTCTTCTGACCTCCACAGGCATGGCACCATACAGATGCACTTTCATGCATGCAGGTAATGGACTCATACACATAAAATAAATGATAGCTGAGCCTTACCATACACTAAGGTTAATGTTAATCAAGTTTATGTTACCATCAGTGCTGATCTACACCTTGCTCTTGCCCCTCACTTAAATCTCCAACCTCTTATTTTTTTTCTATTTTGAGATAGATTTTGAACTCTAGCCCAAATAGGTTCTCAACTCTGTAGCCCAGACAGTCCTGGAACTCTCACTGAATAGTCCAGTCTGGCCTTAAACTCCTGTTGATCTGCTTGTCTTTGCCTCCTGAATGTTGGGATGACTGGCATGAGCCACCATGCCCAGTCTGATCTATTTATCATGACAATGTGGTAAAAGTTCATTAAAAAGACACAAGCCAAAGAATAAAATATAGGCTTATGAACGATTACAGACCCTCTTAGCATTTGAGGCTCCCTGTGCTGCACTGGAGAATCCTGGGTTTAAGAGTGTTTCCTTAGTACTTCTTTGTAACTTAGAGAACAGAGGACATTTTGATGCATTCAGAAGTAAAGATTTGTGATTTTTGTACAGAGCCACAGAGTTTACATATTGATGAGTCCAAATGCAAATAAATTAACCATTCCCTGTCTTTTGACTGGGTAGTTAAGACATCTATATTCTTGAATTTGTTAAAGCTCAGAAGAAAATTTGATTGTGATAGTCAAAGAAAGAGTGAACAACCTGGCATATGGTGATGATACATTGTGGCCTCAGCAACCAGTGGAACAGAGGCCTGAATGTGTCCAACACACCTGATCCTTCTCGGGTACCCAAGTCACCCTTATTTATTTTGTACCTTAAACTGATTTTCCTCAGATAGCTGTATTTCCTGGGTTTTATTTCCTGTATTATTTGTCCCTGAAAAAGTTTAACTTCATTCTCTGAAATACAGATTCTATTTTTTAAAGTTCTAGATGCAGAAAAGACCTACTAGTATAGTAGTATGGGGCAGTTGCTCGCTTTGACCTCAGAAGCTATGGCCAGGACATAGGGCCACATAAGAATGGCCGTTCTGCCTGAATGCCATGCAGATAATACCCTAATAGTAAAGGATTTCAGAGCCTGTATACCAGAGGGATTATGCAGTCAGAGCAAAAGTTTGAAAGTAAAAATTTAAAAAGGTGTATGTGGGGATAATATGAGTTATATATTACATAGCTTTTCTCTTTCATGTGTGTCTATTTAGTTTTGCAGTGGTTCCTGGGATAAGATGCTAAAGATCTGGTCTGCAGGTAAATATTTTTTGTACTTTTGACTAATTAATGAGTTCAAGAATTTTAATAAAAGGACTTTGTATGTAATATTTTGCTGTAAAAATAGACCAAAGTGATTTAGTATATATGAAAAGGAGCATAGTATGAAGACAAATTAGAACATTTCTGAGGCTGGAGATATGGCTCAGAGGTTAAATGCACTGGCTGCTCTTGCAGGCTCAAATCCCAGCACCCACTTGGTAGCTAACAGCTGTCAGTAACTCCAGTTCCAGAGAATCCGATGCCCTTTCTGGCCTCTTTGGGCATTGCACGGCATGGGTTTGCTTACATGTGGGCAAAATACTCATACACTTAAAATAAAAATGAATTTTGAATCATTTTACTCTGCACTCTTTTTTTTTTCCCAAGGGGGGGATCTCGTGGTTCAGACTGGCCTTGAATTTACAGTATAGTCATGGATGACCTTGAACTCCTGATTACTTGACAAGTATGTACCACCATACCCAGCTATTTGAGGAATTTCTTAAGTAAACTTACTTCCTTGTGAAATTTATTTATTTATTCATTTTAAGCTGGGCATGGTGGCACATGCCTTTAGTCCCAGCACTTGGGAGGCAGAGCCAGGCAGATCTCTGTGAGTTCAAGGCCAGCTGGTCTACATATCGAGTTCCAGGTCGGCTGGGACTACAGGAAGTCTGTCTCAAAAAGGCAAAAAAAAAAAAGATTTTTGTGAGACATTTGCCTTTGATCCCAGTACTTAGGAGGCAGAAGCAGAGGGAGCTCTGTGAGTTTGAAACCAGCCTGATCTACATAACAAGTTTCAGGGCAGCCAAATACATAGTGAGACCCTGTTTCACAAACCAAAACAAAAATTTTGATGCAGGCCCCTTTTTTTTTTCTTTTTTTTTTTTTTTTTTTTTTTTTTTTTTTTTTTTGAGACATGTTCTTGGCTAGCCTGGAACCTAGAACTAGCTGTGGAGACCAGCCTGTCCTCATACTTACTGTGATCCTCCTGCCTTTGCTTCCCAAGTGTTGGGATTATAGGCATGCAACATCACACCCAGTTTGTTTTGAAATATAGACTGAAAAGCACAATTGAAGGAGGAGGAGAGGGACTCTTTCTAAGAAAAGTCCAGAGACAGTGATAAGAAGAGTGGGGGAACCAATATAGATACTTAAATTTTGAAACCTACTAGCTAGAACTATTTACTGAATACACACACATAAAGAGGTCAGAATACTTAACATTACTTGTGATGGAGTTGTTTACAGAATATTTCCAACAACTTACAGTAATGGTGACCCCATGCACAAGTCCCACACAAACTCAGATAAAAACCAGCACAGAACTAGGAAAATGGGCAGGAAGCCCCAACCTTAGTCAAGGAACTATTGGCAGCTGATCACTGCTGGGTGAGGGAGAGTTGGTCTTCTTTAAAGGAGGGATGTTAGACTGAACAGGCTTCAGTGAATGAATTCACACTGAGGGACATCTGGATACACAAACCTAACTCCATAGACCTTAACATATATGAATGCATGAAATCTGGGGGATGGGCTATGGAAGGATATAGATAGGGGAGGGGTCTAAATATGATTAAGATGGATTGTATGAAATGCACAAAAATTCAATAAGATATGTATCAATAATAATTAGAAAATAATAATAATAAAAGAATATTTCCTACAATACAGCCAACAAAGAAAGTTGACAGGGATCAAAGCCAGCTTAACCAGTTTTAAGCAATGTGTAAGATTGCAGAAAATAAATATATAAACATATTTAGTAGGTATTAGAAAATTCTTAAAGCAAGCAATTTTGAAAAAAGCAGTTTAGAAAATTTTCCTTTTGTAAATTTTTTTTTTTATAGTATTGGGTAAATGAGATACTACTTGGGATTAGCTATTACTGTTGAGGGTTTATAATTTAGTTAGGAAAAACAGCAATATTCATGAAAGTTACAAAATATGAAGAGCTACAGTTTTCAGTTTGGGTGTGCCACCTAGCCAAATGATGTATATGACAGAGTTTAAAAGCTCCAAAAATATTGAAGGGTCTGGGGGGTATGGATGGCTTAGTTGATAAAGCTGCTGCCTGCTTCTGAGATTTAAACCCAGAAAACTACAAAACAACTATGAAGCACTCATTTTTGTTAGGAAAAGGAAATTATGAGTAAGCATGGCCAAACTACATCCCCTAACCTGAGTTTACTTTATTATTTTCTGTATAACATAAATGTAATCTAGTCATAATCTAGAATAGCAGTTTTTCTTAGCTATGGTAAAGTGACCCATATTCATAATGATGACTTTAAAGATGAGATTTCATACTGATTAGTTTGGGGTTTTTGTTTTTTTTTTAATGTGTATGCGTGTATTGCCTGCATGTAGGTAAGTGCACCCATGTCGTGCAGTGCCCGCAGAGGACAGAAGAGGCTGTTGGATCCCCTGGAACTGGAGTAATAGACAGTTGTTAGCTGCCATGTCGGTGCTGGGATTCAAACCTGGGTCTCCTGCAAGAACAGTCAGTGTTCTTAACCGCTGAGCCATCTCTCCAGTCCCAGTTTGGGTTTTTTTTTTTTAACATACCTTTTCCCCCTTTTTAATGTTTGACGATTGCTACTCCAGGTATTGGGGGGGGGTTGTTTTGTTTTGTTTGCTACTACTGGAGATTGCACCTAGGCCCTCATGCATGCTGGTCAAGTGCTATACCACTGATCTATATCCTTCAGCAGTCAGATAATTGTTTTATATGTAACTTTCTGTTAACCAAAATGATAAGACTATACACCTAATCCCTAATTAATTAACATAACACAAAAAACTATATACCCAGAAGTACAGAGTATTCTTTCAGTTTGTGATTAATATTGACTAAGTTCTTCAAATATCAAATATTATTCTCTATGATGCAGTCCCTACAGATGAAGAAGATGAAATGGAGGAATCCACAAATCGACCAAGAAAGAAACAAAAGACTGAGCAATTGGGACTAACAAGGGTAGGTGTTCATAAAAACTGACTGACTTTGGTCTGTTTGCACAGCATGGGTGTACTTACATACATGATGAAAATAATGGTAATTCAGTTGTCCTTTTGTTTACATTTCCTTTTATTTGATCTTGCCTTGTCAACCATGATTATACTTTCTTTCTGTGGGTTTATAAAACATTTTATTATGAACATGTACTGTTATATTTATCTGAGTCTTGACTGTTGTCAGGCTTACAGGTTGGTAAGGCTGTCATGGTACATTCTGAAGTAGGATCTTCTAATCATCACAGCTTTTACTACAGTTAGGTAAAGAATCTAATTACCTAACTGTTTATTTGTTTCGGGGTTGGAGAGATGGCTCAGTGGTTTAGAGCACTGACTGCTCTTGAAGAGGACCCGGGTTTGATTCCCAGCACCTACATGGTAGCTATGAACCATCCTTAACTCCAGTTCCAGGAGAATCTGACTCCCCCTTCTGACCTCCACAGGTGCACTCACTTACATGCAGGCAATATGCTCATGCACATAAAATAAAAATAATAAGTAAAATATTTAAAAATAATATTTGTTTCATGTACTGAAGGTGTAATTCTTTTTAGGGATTCCAGTTATATCCTAAATCACTAGAAATTCTGAGTTTATTTTGGGGTGTAATATTATCATTTAGCTGTTAGATCTCATTAAACCAAAGTGGGTTTTGTTTTAAGACAGGGTCTCCCTGTAGCTCCAGTTGGCCTGGAACTCCCTGTGTATACCAGGATGGCTTCAGTCTCACAGGGATCCACCTGCCTCTGCCTCCCAAGTGCTGGAATTAAGCTACCACATCCTAAACCAAAGTCTTTTTATATGTTTTTAGACAGGGTCTTTCTATGTAGCACAGGCTGTCGGGAACTCATTAGGTAGCTCACTATGTGCTGGGAGTACAGGTATGTGTCACCAACCTGGGTTTTTTTTTTCCTCCTTAAATATTTCATTGACAAGTAGCAATTGAATCTATTCAAGGTGTACAACATGATGATTAGATAAACATGCACATTGGTTAATGACTATCATGCTCACATTGACATGTCTGTCACTGCCATTCTTCATTAGGTTCCCAGAATTCCATCTTCTAACTGAAAGTTTCTACTGTTCAACCAGTATTTCCCCATTTCTGCCACACCTGGCAATGACCATTCTGTCTACTTTGTGAGGCAGGCTTTTCATCCAGGTTCTTGGACATTTTGTTTTATTATTAAGATATTTGTTAGGGGGTTGGGGATTTAACTCAGTGGTCAAGCACTTGCCTAGCAAGCGCAAGGCCCTGGGTTCGGTCCTCAGCTCTGGGAAAAAAAGATATTTCTTATAATGTGATCCAACCTGTTTTACTTAATGGGAAGGGTGATACTGAGTCAGGTTTTTAAAAAAACATATTTTTCCAGCACTGGGGTGGCAGAGGCAGGTGGATCTCTGTGAGTTCAAGGCCAGCCTGGTCTCCATAGTGAATCCAGGATAGCTGGGGCTACAGGGAGACACAGCTGGAAAAAAAAAAAAAAAAAAAAAAAAAAAGAAAGAAAGAAAAAGAAAACAACCCATATTTTTCATTCTTAGTTTTTCATTTTAAGTTGTTGAAAATTAGAAATCAAATGATCATAAATGATTCACGCAACTAACATATATGCAAATGACATAAACAGTAGCACTTTCTGGTTCCAACTAAAAGTAGTGATTTGTAATTTCTTACTACCTTTAAATATAGGCTATTATATATTATATAGACTGTAGGAAGAAACTCTGATAGGACAAATTAAAGGGGGAAATGCCTTGCCAATTGAATATTCTGTGCATAATTTATGTTGATAAATATTTCTAATAAAATTTCTGGCAATGACCATTCTGTCTACTTCATGAGGCAGACTTTTCATCCAAGCTCTTGGACATTTTGTTTGAGAGATGGCTCAGCAATTAAGAACACAGACTGTTCTTGCAGAAGACCTGGGTTCAAATCCCAGCACCCACATGGCAGGTAACAACTGTCTGTAACTCCAGTTCCAGGGGATTCAACAGCCTCTTCTGTTCTCTGCAGGCATTGCATGACACGGGTGCCCTTACCTACATGCAGGCAATACAAACATACACATAAAATCAAAATAATAAATATTTTTTTAAAAAAATTCTTTGAGTTAGAAAATAATGAGAATTTAGGTTTTTCTATTTTCCTTAATTAAAATGTGCCATATACAGAGTGTATAGCTTAAGTCTATAGCTCTGAATTTTTACAAATGTGTATACTCTAGTAATCACTATTCAAATCAGCACCTTAGAAGACCTGCTCTGCTGTATCTTATAGTCAGTAGCTCCTTCTGATTTATGCCATCTTAGGTTAGATTTAGATTCTCCTATATTTAAATTTCATTTACCTGTGAGATTCATGCTGTTATATTTAATAGTGGTTCTTTTCATTATACATGACATTTTACCATTCTATTGTATACAGTAGAATACATTTCTTCCATTCTTTCAATGGACATTTAGGTTGTTTTCAGTTTTTGGCTACTATGACTCAGTCTACTAAGAAAGTTGTCTTTTAGATTAAATATGCAATGGTTGTACATGTGTCAAACTGTAGAAGTAGAATCAGAGGGTCACAGATTGTGTATATGGTTGCTTATTTAAAAATTGTGTGTGTGTGCGTGTGTATCTGTACACACGCACACACACACACACACACACACACACACTGCTGTGCAGGTGTGGTGGCTGGAAGACATCCTCAGGAAGGCCATCTTTCTCCATTGAGACAGGGTCTCATCGGCCTGACACTCACCAGTTAGGCTAGACTGGCTGGCCAGTGAGCTCCAGGGATACATTTGTGTCTTTCCCGGGTTCTGGGACAAAAGTACACACAACCATGCCCAGCTTTTTATATGGTTCTGGGGACCCATCTTAGGTCTTTGTCCTTCAAGGCAAACACTTTACTTAATGAGCCGTGTCCCCAGCCCCCAAATAATGCTTATTTGTTTGCAGTGCTAAGAACTGAACTTGGGGTCTCATGCATTCTCAGCAAGTGCTCTTCCACTGAGTTATTCCCAGCCCTGTTACTTTTCTAAATGTTAAGTGTTGTCAGTAAGTTTTCGCTGTAACAGTGGGTGAAAGTTAAAGTTATTCCACATCCCTACGAGCACTTGATATGGTGGCCTTTTTAAAGCCATGACTGTCTTTATTATATATTTTATACTTAACTTATTCCCCTAACACCCCCCACCCCGAGGATCTCTTTGTTTTGCCAAAGCTGGCCTAAAATTTAAAGGACTCAAGTGTCCTATTGCCTTAACCTCCTTAGTAGCTGAGACCACAGGGCATGCCCCATTCACACACAGCTTTTTTTTTTGGTTTTCTTGAGACAGGGTTTCCCTATAGCCCCAGCTGGCCTGAAACTCACTATATAGTCCAGGCTGGCCTTGAACTCACAGAGATCTGCCTGCCTCTACCTCCCAAGTGCTGGGATTAAAGGCATACACCACCACTCCCGGCGCTTAACTGACCTTTTAAAAAGGATATCATGGTGCCACATGCCTGTAATCCCATCATGGGGAGGCAGAGGCAGGAGGGTCAGGAGTTTAAAGCCAGCTTTGGTACACAGTGAGAGCCCTAACTCACTATGAGTTAGGTTATATGAGACCTTGTTTCAAAAATAAATAAATAGTGTATCATTTATTTTATTCTTGGTGGTATACAGTAGAATATAACTTTAGCCCTAGTTAGCACTTTGATACTGACTTGTAAAATGCCCATTCATAGATGTTTAGCTTTTTTTTAAAAACCAAGAAACAAGTAGTTTTATTTATTTTATATTTTGTGTGTGTGTGTGTGTGTGTGTTTGTGTTTGTACATGCACGCTCGCTTATACAGGTATGAGTGGGGAGCACATCAAGGTATGTGTGGAGGTCACAGGACAACTTGGGGAAGTTGGTTCTCCTACCATATGGTTCTGGAGATTAAATTTAGGTTCCTTACTCCCTGACCCATTTCAATGGCCCCTCTTAGCTTATTTTCAAAAGTGTTTTGCAGTCCTAGTTTGGTTTCTATTGCTGTGATAAAACACTTGGGCCAAAACCAACTCGGGGAGGAAAGGGGTTTATTTGACTTATAATAAGCTCACAGTCCATTGTCAAGGGAAGCCAGGGCAGGAACTCGGGGCAAGAACTGAAGCACAGCCACAAAGGAAAGCGGCTTACTGTTTTGCTCCCCTGGCTTGCTCAGCTACTTCTTTTACAGTCCAGGCCCATGTGCCCAGGGATGGCATCACCCACAGTGAGCTAGGCCCTCCCATGTCGACTAACAATTAAGAATATGCCATATTGACAGCCTGATGGAGGCCATTTCTCAGTTGAGATTCCTACTTCCTGGGTGTGTCAAGTTGACAGCTGAAGGTAACCAGGACATTTACCTCTTACTAACTTGCTGGAGTTCTTTATCAGAATACAAGTTCCTGCTGTATACATGCATTGCAGATACTGTCTTCCACTCATTGTCTTGCTGGTACCTATTATCTTTGGGGTATACTTTCATAAGCTTCCATGTTCATTTTATTTGAGAGAAGTACTATACTCTTATTTTCCCAGTTAAAAAATTTTATTTTAAAGGTAAATTTCACAGATACCCAATGTACTATACTAAGGTATATAATCCAGTAGCTTTTAGTATATTTGTAATATCATATAACCACCCTTCTATGTTTGTTTTTTGTTTTTGTTGTTTTTAAAATAGCCTATAGCCCACACTAGTGTTGAACTTGTTGTATAGCCTAGGATAGCTTTGAACGCCTGCTCCTCCTCAAGACCCCCATAACCCCCTGCCCCAGTGCTAGGATTACAGGCTTTGGCCACCACACCCAGAGGTATGCTCATTCACATTTTTATAGGGCTTAAACTCATGAATTCACAAATTATAATTGAATTTTTTCCAAGAAACCCTTAAAGCACTGGTAGTGAAAATTGTGCTGTGATTAGAACAGAAAAATTTAGATTTTAGAAAAATAGCACAAGATCTATTAAAAGTTACCTTTTCTGCATTACTTTCTAGTACCCAACCCGTATTAATATTATTAATGCTGCTGATCAGTTACTTTACCTGTCATTTGTCTCATATTAACACTCAGGATTTTTTCCTCTGTAACGCCAGTTATTTTTTTCCTCTGGTATTACTCCACTTTAGTTGTTTATAGTAAGTGTCAAGGTTGATGGTTATCAATTAGGTTACAGAGCAGTCCATCATCTGCAGAACTCAGTTGTTCCTTTGTAGTCTGTTCTTTCTCTTGTGTCAGTCCCTCACAGCCATGCATTTGTTTTTGTTCCTATGGTTTTTTTCTTCCTCCTCTTTCTCCTCTTCCTCCTCTTCCTCCTCCTCCTCCTCCCCCTTCTTCTTTTCCTCCTCTTCCTCTTCTCTTTTTTCTTCTTCTCCTTCTTCTTCGAGACAGGGTCGCACCCTGTAGTCCTCCTCCTCCTCCTCCTTCTTCTTCCAGAATGTCTTAAATTTTGACAGTGTGTATAGTCTTGAGTTGACCCTTTTTAGTATTTGAGATTCATCTATGTTGTTGAGGGTTTCAGTGGTCTGTCTGTTAGATGCTGAGTAGGATTCTATTGTATGAATATGCTACAGTTGGCATAAGTTGAGAGTTACTTGGTTAATTTTCAGTTTGGAAGTTTTGAATGAAGAATGAAACAGCCATCTACATGTATGTTCCTTTTTTGTGAGCTTAGTTTTAACATTCTTATGCTGGCTAAGAATGAGATACTCATTCATGAACGTTTACCTGTTGTTTCCACCTTATCTGAGGGGCTTCTGATAACCTTTTACTTTACTTTTGTTTTAATATTATATCAAGCTGGACACATTAGCACATGCCTGTAATCGCAGCACCTAGGCAGCTGAGGAAGGCCAGCTTGGGCTACTTTTTTTAAAAAGGATGATATCAGAGGTGGTCCTGTTCCACACTTCTCTAACAGGTTCCTTCTTCAGGAAAATTTTAGAGCTGGAAGAGAGACCTTAGGGTTATTTGGTCCTGCCAAACAACCAATTTATCATTTACTTTTATCCTATAGAGATCTAAGAGTTTTTATATTTTTGAGGGAAATATGCAATGGTAACTGCATGTGACCTGCAAAGATTGCAATATTTATCTGCGGGCCCTTTAATGAAAATATTTGGGACCTACCATAACCCTTCCTATTACAGATGTAATATATTTAAAGAGGTTAAGTATAGCTGTTACAGAGTAGGCTGTTTCCCACTCCATCATTGTTGTCCTTTCTCTCTTATATGTTCCTTATGCGTAAGACAGGCACTATACCTAGTTTAAGGAAAACATGAAGGATTCTGAAGCATTAATAAGTGAGCTGTGGACATTATTTAAAGATTAAATAGTAGGATCAAAAGATGCTGGGGAAATGGGATGTTAAGAACAGTGTGTTGAGATTAATTTAGCTGGAGGAATCAGGTAGAAATTAGCAGCACTTTGACTCAAACCTGTATCTCAAAACCTAGACCTCAAAACTTTTTCTGCTGTGAAGCAGGTTCACTGATTGCCAGTCCAAAGGAGGCACTACCCCCCAGGAAGGAAGGTAGTAAAGATATCTCTGTTAACCACTAGGGATTAGGAGTGTTAGCACTTGGGATGCAGTTTTGCTAATTGCCTGAATCTGGTGAGACAGAACATATTCACATGCTACAAGTATGAAGTGGATTTATCACAAAAGGAAGCAAGGTTCAACAGAAATCTAGGATCCATTGTGATTTGGTGTTTTAAGGATCAGGAAAGCTGCCTAGAGAGGATAGTCTGTGTGTGCCAAATTTACACCACAACTGAAGGATGCCAAAAAGCAACCAAACCCATGGGTCATGTGGCTACTGGGCAATTAGGGACTGAAACAGAGCTCAGGCTGTTCTGGTCAGTCTGTCTGCTCAGGTTGTTATATTCCCAGCACATTCACAGTTACTCTGCAAACCACAGGCAAGAAGAAAGGACAGAGACTAGGTCAGGCCAAGTCCCCCAGGGGACAGTCCATCACTAATATTCAATATTTGTCAGTTGGGAGAGTTAAGTTGCTATTTATACTGCCACAAATGAAAATTAAGACAGATGAACTCTCAGAATGCATTGGAAACACTAGAAACTTTGGAGTAATGTTTGGGTTTAAACTTGAGTCTGCTACTTAAAAGGTGTATAACCTAACCTTGAACAAGTTATCTTTTTCAGCTTTAGTGTCTTCATATATATAAAATAAATTACTTGGGGCTGGAAAGATAGCTCAGTGGTTAAGAGCACTGGATGCTCTTGCACAGGACATAGGTTTTGTTCCTAGCACCTACATGGCTGCTGACAACCGTCTGTGACTCCAGTTCTAGGGGATCTGACACCTTCTTCTGGCCTCCTCAGGCATTACATACACATGTGCACTTATACATGTAGGTAAAATACTCGTACACATAAAAATGAATACCAAAAAACATAAAAATAAATTAAAAGTATGTATTATGGGGGCGCTCATCTGGTTTATGCAGCAAGTGTCTTTATTTGCTGAACCATCTCAACAGCCCTATATTTTTTAAAATTTGTTTTGTGTGTAGAGGTGAGAGGATAACTTGTGGGAGTCTGTTTTCTCCTTCTACCATGTGGGTCCTTAGGATAGAACTCAGCTTCTCAGGAAGGCTGATTTCTATGAGTTCCAAGCTAACCTGGTTTATGTGGTTAAGTTCTAGGCTAGCCAGGGCTACATAGTGAGACCCTGATTCAATAAAATAAAACGCTAGGCATGTGGGCTTTTGACATTTCTAGCTACTCTTGTTTCCATTATTCTGAAGTGAAGATGCTTACCCCTTTTGGGGACTTTTCATTTCTAGACTCCCTTGATGACCCTCTCTGGACACACAGAGGCAATTTCCTCAGTACTTTGGTCAGATGCTGAAGAAATCTGCAGTGCATCTTGGGATCACACAATTAGAGTGTGGGATGCTGAGTCTGGCAGTCTTAAGTCAACTTTGGTAAGACTTAATTTTGGTGTTCCTCTGATTCATTTTATTTTTTTCAGTAATAAATTTCTAAAGGTGGTTACCTTTAGCCCACTGTGGTTAAATGTTTTCTTTTCATTTTCAGACAGGAAATAAAGTGTTTAATTGTATTTCCTATTCTCCACTTTGTAAACGTTTGGCATCTGGAAGCACAGATAGGCATATCAGACTGTGGGATCCCCGAACAAAAGGTACATTGAATCCACTAAGGAATATTAAGAATACAAAACAACAAAATATTTGCACAAATATTCTTTAGGTTTGTTTTGTTTTTCTTTTCTAAAATTCAGTGCTTTTTTTTTTTTTCTTTTTTTTCCTCTTTGTTCAGATGGTTCTTTGGTGTCGCTGTCCCTCACCTCTCATACAGGCTGGGTAACATCAGTAAAGTGGTCTCCTACCCATGAACAGCAGCTGATTTCAGGCTCTTTAGATAACATTGTCAAGCTGTGGGATACCAGAAGGTAAATCGTGGAGCTGGAGAAATGGCTCAGTGGTTAAGAGTGCTTCCTGTTCTTGCATAGGTCCTGAGTTCACTTTTCAGCACCCCATCAGGCGGCTTGCATCCACCTGTAACTCCAGCTCTGGGGGATCTGATGACTTTGACTTCTGCAGGCACTGTGCATCTGCACTCACTTGCATATACACATTCACATACAGTTAAAAATAAAATAAGGAGCTAGAGAGATGTCTCAGCAGCTAAGAGCACTGGCTGCTCTTGCAGAGGACCCAGGTTTGGTTCCAAGCTCCCATATGGCAGCTAACAACTATCTATAACTAGTTTCAGGGAATCCGACATTCTTTTATGACTTCTGTGGGCATTGCATGTCATGGATGTACTTACATACATGCAGACAATACATTCATATACATAAAATAAAAATAATAAAGAAAATATTTAAAAATAAATATTTTTTATTAAAAAGAAAGTAAATTTTTATTATAATCTGCAAAACAAAGATGTCAGTTACCATTATATATAGAGAAAATGAAGTAATTATTCAAATGCAGTAGGGTTATATTATGATAAATACTGATACTCAAGCCCAGGACTGGACTGTGGGCATAACTCAGTCAGTAAAGTGGTTACAACCCCAGAACCCCTGAACCCATGGAACCCCAGAACCTATGTACAAAAAGCCAGATGTGGTGAAGTATACTTATAATCTTAGCACTGAGGAGATGGAGGCAGGAAGCTCCCTGGGTCTTGCTAGCTAGCCAGCCTACCCTACTTGGTGCGTCTTATGCTCTGACCTACACATGAGCATGTGTGCAAATGCACACACACACATCCAAAGCCCTGAAACAAAGGAATTTTATTCATGTTAATATGTTTTCAATCATTCTGAAAGAATTAAAATCCATATCACTTACTTGTACCACTCAGAAAAGTCTGTTTGTAAAATCCATTTCTGACTTTATTATGCAGTAGAAAAAGTTTAGAAAGATTATCCTGAACCTTAATATAAATTATATTAATGGAAAGTTTAATACATAAAGTTTAAACATGTCTTTAAAGATAATTAGATGCCAAAGAGATCTTTCTTACTCAAAGGCTAGTTGCTATGATACTAGTATATACAAATTACCCAAGTTACAATGTATGAAAAATTGATTTATATGTCTTTATAAATAGAAGAGATACATTAACTAGGTACCCATTTGTGTATGTTGTTAATTGAATTTTAAATCTGCCTTCTAACAAGACCTTAAATCTGCCTTTTTACATCCTATGATGCCTTACCTGTTATCTAGAAGGTTTACACATTTTAATTGACATTTCATATGATAGTTGACATAGTTTTTCATGATAGTAGTATGAACAAAGTGAAACAGGGTAAAGCTGCACTTCATTGGTGAGAGCTTCTCTTTGAAGATATTTTAGTAGCAAGTTGCACATTTTGAAGTTTTAAGCTATGCACATATGACAGGAAACAGATAAGGTGGGATGAATTATGGAATATTGGTAAATAGCAAGAAGGCTAGGATTGATGAAGTAAACAAGAGTGGCAGAGCATGAGGTAGATAATGATTATATCAAGCAGGATTGGCAAAGCTTCAAGGGGTTTGAGCAAGGAACCAAGACTGGATGCTGAAAGACTTGTAATTCAAGACCCGGATCATGGTAGCCTAGACTGGTGGTAGCATTAGAGGTAAGTACTTGAGTTCTAGGTATTTTGAAGATATATCTTTCACAAGATTAATTTCTTGTGGATTAAATGTGGAGATAGGAGTCAAGAAATAGTGTCCACATTTTCTACTTGAGCAATTGGATATTAGTTCTTCTTACTATAGCAGGAAAAGTAGAAGATTGGGTTTGTGAGGGAAATTGAAGAGTTTTGATTTGGTTGTTTTAAAAGTCTCCTGCCCATCTAGCTCTCAGGTGTTGGGTATGCATTTCAAGCTCAAGGAGGAAGACTGGGTTGGAAATAGAAATTTAGGAGTTATTATATAAAGAGCTAGACAAATGGTATATAAATCAGAATTTTAACATTAAGTGATTATTGAGGGAAGGATGCTAAACCCAGTAAAGTTTTCAGAAAAATATGATTATTTATGTTTGTTTTAGTAGTGCAAATGCATATAACATGTTTGTATTTTCATCTTTTAGTTGTAAGGCTCCTCTCTATGATCTAGCTGCTCATGAAGATAAAGTTCTAAGTGTGGACTGGACAGACACAGGGGTAAGACTTTGTTAGTTATTTGGTGAAGAAGAAAACAGTTTCAATTTTTCTGATTCTGTTTCTGATTCTTTGTCTCTACCTCCCAAGTACTGGAGGTTACAGGTATGTACCATCACACCTGGCTCAACCCTCTTTTTATTTTGAGACAGGCTGTCAGTAATTTTCCCAGGCTAGCTTAGAACTAGGCTAGGCTCTAAATCTATGCTCTTCTGCCTCAGTCTCCTGAGTATTTAAGTGCTGTCCCCTCAGGCCCAGCTACCTTTTGAATATTTTATTTTAATTATTTTTATTTTATGTATATGAGTGTTTTGCCAGTATGTATGTAAGTGTACACTTGTGTGCAGTGCCCTCAGAAGCCAGAAGAAGCTGTCAGATCCCCTGGAACTGGGGTTACTAAAGGTTGTTAGCCACCATGTGGGTGCTGGGCTGACCTGGGTCCTCTGCAAGAGCAGGCAGTGCTAGTGCTGTTAACTATTTAGCCATCTCTCCAGCCCCTCTCATGAATATCTTTTGGGGGGTAGGGGCTTTTGAGACAGGGTCTCCCTGTAGCCCCAGCTGGCCCAAAACTTGCTGTGTAGATTAGGCTAGCCTCAATCTCACAGAACTCTACCTCCCTCTGTGTCCACAGTGCTATGATTAAAGGTGTTCACCACCAAGCCCTGGCTCCTAGTGGATATGAAACTTTTTTTGGGGGGGGGGGGTTCTTTTTGAGACAGGGGCTCCCTATAGCCCCAGCTGTCCTGGAACTCACTATGTAGACCAGGCTGGCCTTGAACTCACAGAGATCCACCTGCCTCTGCCTCCCAAGTGCTGGGATTATAGGCGTGAGCCACCACACCCGGCTGGATATGAAGCATTTTAAGTCCATAAATTTGTTACTTCACACTGATTTTCTATCAGTCAATCAGAAACACTTTTTTTGGCCTGGTGTGGTGGCTTGGTGGCACAAGCCTTTAATCACAGCACTGGGAGGCAGAGGCAGGCAGATCTCTGTGATTTCAGTGCCAGCCAGGGTTACATAGTGAGCCCCTGTCTTAGGAAACCAAATTAAAAAAAAAAGAAAATCTTTTGGGGGGGAAGTTTTTCTTATTTTTTTGTTTCTGTAAGGCAGGGTCTTGCTATGTAGCCTTGGCTGGCCTCAAACTTGCAATGATCTTCCTGCCTTAGCCTCCTAAGTGTTGGAATTACAGATGTATATAACACTATGCCCAACTAGGAAAATGTTACATAATAAGTACAGATTTTAAAAGACACTTAAAGAATTATAATTTGCACTGAGTATGGTGACGCACACCTTTAATTACAGTTCTCAGGAGGCAGAACCAGGCAGATCTATGTGAGATTGAGGCCAGCCTGATCTACATAGAGAGTTCCAGGCCAGCAGAGACTACAGTGAAACCCTGTCTCAAAAAAAAAAAAAAGAATTATTTTTATGTATATGCATAAACTTTTGTAGTCTTTAATTTTTTTCCAAGGGGCTGGAGAGATGGCTCAGTGTTTGTTAAGAGCACTGACTGCTTTTGCAGAGGACCCAAGTTTGATTCTCAGCACCCATATGGCAGCTAACAACCATCTGTAACTCCAGTTCCAGGGGATCTAATCCCCTCTTCTGGCCTCTGCTAGCATTGCACGACACAGGTACACCTACCTACATAGCAGGCAATACACTCATACACATAAAATAAAAATAATGAATAAAATATTTTTTTAAAAAAAGAATTTTTTCCAAATGTAGGTCCTAGGGCTATTTGAATACTTATAGCATACGTGTGCCTGCATTGCTTCAAGTTTGAGGTCAGCTTAGGCTATGTAGTAAGTTTGAGGCCAGCCTGGGCTACCACATGAGACCCTGTCTCAAATAAATAAATATAAACCTTTTTCTTAAAAAGGTAAAATTGGCCGGGCATGGCGGTACATGCCTGTAGTCCCAGCACTTGGGAGGCAGAGGCAGGTGGATCTCTGAGAGTTCGAGGCTAGCCTGGTCTACATAGTGAGTTCCACGACAGCTGGGGCTACAGGGAGACCCTGTCTCAAAAAGCTTTTAAAAAAAAAAGGTAAAATTGGGGGCTGGAGAAATGGCTCAGCGGTTAAGAACACTGTTCTTGCAGAAGACTCAGGTTTGAATCCCAGCACATGGCAGCTATCAACTGTCTGTAACTCCAGTTCCAGAGGATCCGATAGCCTCTTCTGTACTCTGCGGGCATTGCATGAAACGGGTGCACTTACCCACACGCAGGCCTAATAAATATAAATAAAAAATATTTTTTAAAAAAAAGTAAAGTAAAATTGTTACTCTTCTGCCGGACATGGTGGTGAACACTAATTCCAGCACTCAGGAAGCAGAGGCAGTTGGGTCTCTGAGTTCAGGGCCAGCCTGTATACATAGTAAGTTCTAGGCCAACCAGGGCTACATAGTGAAATCTTGTTTCCAAACAGACAAAACCCAAAAACCTGTTACTCTTCAAACTATTTTAGTTTATTACATACCTTAGCATACTTCATTTAGAGTAGAATAGCATACTGTGTCTCAACCAAGATGATTATTTTTAATGTTCTCATACACTGGATAGTAATAAAGATCGAGTATCCCTGATCTGAAATGCTTTGCATCAAAGCATTTCAGATTTCAGGTTTTGGAATATTTGCACATACATGAGAAATCTTGGAGATGGGACCCAAACTAAATATGAGATTCCATTTTAAGTACTGTGTTCAGTGCATATTAACCACTCATCTGTAATTCCTTTTGCAATCAGTCATATTTAGTTATGTCTAGCTAATATCTGAGACATTTATATTTACTGTGTATGTATTTTTCTTTTTATACAGCTACTTCTGAGTGGAGGAGCAGACAATAAACTGTATTCCTACAGATATTCACCTACCACTTCCCATGTGGGGGCTTGAAAATGCATAATTTGATCAAAGAGACTTTCTTGTTGGGTTTTGTTTTGCTTTTGAGATATTCTCTCACTGTTATGTCATAAAGACTATAAATAAAGTTGGTAGAGAAGGCCAAGGATGTAGCTCAGTTGGTAGTGTTTGTCTAGCATGCACCAAGCCCTACACAAAAATTAGGCATGGTGGTGTATCACTCTACTAGCCCTTGGGAGGTTGGAAAGCAGGAGGATCTGAAGGTCAAGGTCATCTTTAGATACATACCTAGTTCAACACCAGCCTGAGATATATGAAACTGTCTCGAAAGAAACCAGTAGAAAACCATCAGCTATCGTTGTTGATGCAGAGACAGAAAGCAGCCTTATAAAGTATATGTGATGGCTCATCTTTCATGATAGCTAACATTTCGCTAACCTCTTTCTTATTTATTACAATAAATATGTGGCCTGTGTTCTCTACCCTATACAGATTCCTTTTCTTCTCAGAATTTGAAGAAATAAGTAATCTTCATTTGACTGAATTTTTAAGATTACTTTTAAAGGTATTGGTTTAAATTAAAATTGCTTTTGAAGTATACAAAAGGATATATTGTGGGGCGTGGTGGTGCACACCTTTAATCCCAGTGTTAAGGAGGCAGAGGCAGGTGGATATCTGTGAGTTCAAGGCCAGTCTGGTCTACACAGTGAGTTCCAGGACAGCTGGGGCTACAGGAAGACCCTGTCTCAAAAAGACCCACAAAAAAAAAAAAAAAAAAAAAAGCACTGTAGTACACTTGTAATCTGAGCATTTAGGAAGTAGAGGCAGGAGGCTCAGGAGTTCAAGGTCATAATTTGTTTCATACGTAGTTCACAAGGGTCAGGCTGGACTATGTGAAACTCTGTCTCAAAAAAAATGAAGGAAAAAAAAAAGTGACAAGGAGGCCAGTGAGATGGCTCAGCAGGTAAAGATACTTGCTGCCAAACCTGATGACCTGAGTTCAATTCCCAGATCTGGAAGGTAAGAACTGACTCCTGCACATTGTCCTCTGACCATAAATGTGCACACCCCCCACCCTCAAATAATTTTAAAATTTAAAGTGATAGGAAAAATATTAATAATCTGACTTCCTATTAGATTAGTAATCTAATCTGTAATCATTATTGCAGATAAGTAATGTTTATAAAAAAATAAGACTTTGTTAGGTATTTGGAACATTAAGAAGTATATATATATGCTGGGGCTAGAGCGATGACTCAGTGGTTAAGAGTATGTAGTGATCTTGCAAGGATCCAAGTTGAGTTCCTAGCACCCACATTAGATGGCTCACAACTGCCTGTAATTCTAGTCTAAGGGATCCAATACCTCTGTTCTCAGCAGGAACCTGTACTCATATGCACATACCCCCCCCCCACAGACACACACACACACATATTAAAAATAATAAAAATAAATCTTTGAAAAAAGGTAGATGTTACTGAGCACTTGCAACTCCTGCAAAGGACAAGGATTTGATTCCCACAACCCACATGGCATATCATGACAGCCTGTAACTCCAGTTCCAGTGATCAGACACCTGGCCTCTGCAGGCACTGGGCACTTAGTACACATACAAAAAGACATACATAAATAAAAATTTTAAATGTGATTTTTTTTTTTTTTTGAGACGGTCTCAGTGTATAGCCCTGACTGGCTCTGCATACCTCTACCTCTGAGTGTCTGGATTAAAAGCATGTGCCACCATACCTATCAAAAGTAAATCTTAATTTTAAAAGAATTCATTGTATTTTAAATGAAGTATTTCATATTAAAGGTATGCCGGGTCATTTAGAAATTACATAAAAATTTCATGTTAACCAGAAATTTCTCTTTCTAGCTTGTCCTAATATATAGATAATATGTTCTGTAGACAAAACCTTTCAGTTAGTATTAGATGAATATCGTGCAGGCTTTATAACATTAGCATTTCTCTGTATACTGATGTTACATGCAAAATATTTAAAGTAATTTAATATTTATTTAATTTTATCTGTATGAATGTATTGTCTGCATGTATGTGAGTGCACCCATATCATGCAATGCTGCAGAGGTCAGAAGAGGGCTTCGGATTCCCCTGGAACTGGAGTTAAAGCTGCCATGTGGTTGTTGGGAACTGAACCTGGGTCCTCTGCAAGAGCAGTCAGTGCTCTTAACCACTGAGCCATCTTTCCAGCCCTTAATGTAATTCTTAAAAAAAAATCTAGATTTTTTTTTTTAATTAGTTGGTCATGGTGGTGCAAACCTTTAGTCCTAGAACTTGGCAGGCAGAGGCAGGTAGATATCTTTGAGTTCAAGGCTAGCTAGGGTTACAGTGAGACCATGTCTCAAAAAAACAAGGAAAAAAAATTTTTAAGCTAATTTTTGCAGTACAGTACTGGGGACTGAACTCAAGGCTTTGTGCATACTGAGTGATTGGTCTATCACTAAGCTATATCTGCAGCCTGTTTTACCAGTTTCATTTATGTGAAGTCAAAGGTCCTGCTCGACCATGTCTAGCTTCACTTGGAAACATAAATGAGATGTTTCCTCTGAGTTGAACCTCTTTTTTGTAGACTGGACACTGGTTCAAGTCCATCTTGTGGGGTCTCCATGGCCTCCCTGTACAAGAGGACAGGTGACTGACCACAGATGTAACCATCTTTTTTAAATGTTCAAATTATGACTTCTCTTTTGCTTTTGTGTGCTTTAAAAATATTTTTTATTATTTTTATTTTATATGAGTATATTGCATGCATGTATGTAAATGCACTCATGTCATGCAGTGCCCATGGAGGTCAGAAGAGGGCTTCGGATTCCCCTGGAACTAGAGTTACGGATGGTTGTTAGCTATCGTGTGGTTGCAGGAAACTGAACCCAGATCCTCTGCAAGAGCAACCAGTGCTGTTAACTGCTGAGCCATCTCTCCAGCGCCTGCTGTTGTGATTTCTAATAACACCTCACTGTATAGCCCAGTTAGCACTTCTACTTCAGCCTCTCAAATTCTGGGATTAGGATGTGTGCCACCACACCAAATATGACTTCTATCCAGTGGATTAGTATTCCTCAAGCAAAGCCCTTATAGTAACATACGGGGAAAAAACAATGTATATTCTTGGCTGCAGTTGCGAACCAAATTAGCAATGCATGGGACCAGTTAGGAGCTTAGTTGTATAGAAGTTCAAAGGCAGTTAGGAATGGTTTGTTACTTGTTCTTAGCGACCCAGGTTCCCTCCACTTTTGGGATATGGGCTTCATTTTTACATAGACCAAGCACTACAGACATTTAATCACATCATTTTTTTAATCTTTAAAATACTTTGGTTCTTTGAGAATTTCATACAAAGCATTTGGACAATGTTCACCTACATCTCCTCCCCTTAATTCCTCCCAGATTGGCCCTCACCTTCCTGTTCCCTCCAATTTTGCGTGATTTTAAAAAAACAAACCATCAAGTCTCTTTTGTGCTGTCCGTAGACTCCTGGGTGTGGGACCATCCACTGGAGTGTGCCCTACCAGGGGCATATCCTTAAAGAAAACTGACTCTCCTACCCCTAGAAGCCATCAACTGTCTATAGCTCCTCAGGGATGGGAATGATCATGCTATTTCTTAAAGTGTATTTTTCATTTTATGCTAATGTGTAAATTTTCTTGATTATGTAGTCTGAACCATTTTGTCAGAGGACAAAAGTGAATTTATAATCCTGTTTTGGGTAGTCTCTGAGTGAGCCTTAAGGAACAGTTATTTCCAATGTCTTTCCCATGTTTAAAAAAAAAAAGGGGGCTGGAGAGATGGCTCAGCAGTTAAAAGCACTGGCTGCTCTTGCAGAGGACCATTGTTTGGTTCCCAGCACCCACATGGCAGCTAACAACCAGTTTCAGGGGATCTGATGCCCACTCTTGGCCTCTGTGGGCATTGCATGCACATGATAGACTTATATGCAGGAAAAAAATTCATACACATAAAATCAAAATTTTAAAAATTTTTATGTGTTTGTGTGTATTGCCTGCACGTAGGTAAGTGCACCCGTGTTCTGCAGTGCCCTCGACGACAGAAGAGGCTATTGGATCCCCTGGGACTGGAGTTACAGACAGCTTCCATGTGGGTGTTGGGATTCGAACCCGGGTCTTCTGCAAGAACAGCCAGTGTTAACCGCTGAGCCAAAATTTTTTAATTAAAAAAAAAAATGCATGGTGGAAGAATGATAGCTGAACCACTTTTGGAAAGGTGAAGATGAAGCTCAAAAGCATGAGGAAGGAACAGGGCATACTACATCTTCATACACCACAGTTTTTTTCTTTGCTCTAAAGCCATTTTCATACTCTTAGTAGACAGGATAATATTTAGTATTAGAAAATATAAAAAGAAAACCTTGCTGTGATAATGACCTAGAGCATACCATGTTAGAAACAAGTTAGATTTTTATTTTACATAGAATGTAAAATACCAACATTTGCTTATATATCCTTCTGAAATTAGAAATCCACCTGGAACCATTATCAACTATGTATAATATATCTGAATGTCTTCTGAGGGAAAGAAGAACTGAATGTTTAAGTTGAGGTGCACATAAAAATGGCAATATCTCTAACAGTCCACAGACAGGTACTAAATTTTCTTCATTTTAAAGACTAGGAAAATGGGGGCTGGAGAGATGGCTCAGCGGTTAAGAGCACTGACTGCTCTTGCAGAGGACCCAAGTTTGATTCCCAGCACCCACATGGCGGCTATGAACTGTCCTCAATTCCAGTTCCAGGGGAATCCGAAGCTCTCGTCTGACCTCCGAGGCATTGCATGACACGGGTGCACTCACATACATGCAGGCAATACACTCATACACATAAAGTAAAAATAAATATTTTTTAAAAAAATAGGAAAATGACACTGGCTGTTCTTGCAGAAGACCCGGGTTCAAATCCCAGCACCGACATGGCAGCTAACAACTGTCTATAATTCCAGTCCCAGGGGATCCAACAACCTCTTCTGACATCCACAAGCATCGCACAACACGGGTGTACTTACCTACATGCAGGCAATATATACACAAAATAAAAATAAAATTTTTTAAAAATAAGAAAATGTAGTCTGAACAGTCATACTTCTAGTAAATGTCAGTGTCAAGACTTTTTACATGGACTTAAGTGAGTTTAGAGTTCTAATGTTTTATTGTTTTGTAAGTATTCTGCTTGTACATATGTATGTGTACCATGCACATGCCTGTTGCCCTCAGAGGTCAGAAGAGGGCATTGGATCCCCTGGAACTGGAGCTAGAGATGGTTATGAGCCACCATGTGGGTTCTGGGACTCAAA